AAATTGCCTGGAAGTCCCGCGCGAGAGCGTGATTCCTTCATAAATTGTGAATGCGTCCAGCGCGAGAGCGCGATTTGGGAGTAACTTGTGAGGAAGTATCCAGCGGGAGGTGTTGTTGTTGTGATTCAGGGGCCAGGGGCCCAGTTTGGTGACACCTCAATTTCCCTTATAAAAGATAGGGTGCGAGCCCCGGGAGAAGCACTTTCATTGAAAAATACAATGGCTATTGGGCAGGGGGGATCGAAAATCATTCGTTTCAGAAATGAGAGTTGAACAACGACATTCACAACAACAACAACAACAACAACAACAACAACAACAACAACAACAACAACAACAACAGCAACAACATTGGCATCAACATCAAACATCATCAGCAGCAGCATCATCAGCAGCATCATCATCAGCAGCATTATCATCATCAGCATCATCACCAGCATCAACATCATCATCATTGTCGACATCATCAGCACCTGTGCAAGATCAGTCCACATCGAATCCGGAAATCGGATCGTTCGTCGGATCTGGCTGCAGCGGCGCGGAGTCGGCATCGAATCGGATCGGCTGCGCAAGGATACACAACAGCGCCACGCAAGCATCGGGCCGCATCGGATCGTCCGAGTATCGAAATCGAATCGGGTCGGGCCAGACCAGACCGACACGTCCGGCCTGCGTGATGAGCTTGACGTCCTGCCGGGCGCTGCTGAAGGACTGGAGGTTGCCCCCGGCCTCAGGGGACAAAAAACTGTCCGAGCATAAACTCTCGGAGCTCAGCGCGGATTTCTCGAATCAGCGCTAGGTCGGGCATGTCCTCCTCCAGGCAGATTCTAGAAGAAAATGAAAACATCCCAGGAATATCAAAAAAATCGAAAAATCGTCTACAGACTATGTCTTTATTTTTGTTGGGAACATTCCTCCTGTAGAGGGACACGCCCGCCTTAAGATCAGCGCAGGATTAGGTCGGGCATGTCCCCCTACAGGCGGATGTTGGACGACAAAGAATTAAAGTACCCAAGAACTGCTCAAACATATCCAAAACAATAAAAAATCGCCCCCAGGCTATTTTGTTTACTATTTTTGAATACTCCTCCTGTAGAGGGACATGCCCGACCTAAGATCAGCGCGGGACCCCCCCCTAGCTTCAGGTCGGGCGTGTCCCCCTACAGACGGATTTTGGACGAAGAATAAAAAAAACATAAATACAAAAAAACAAAAAATGGTCCGAAAAACAGGACCCATACTATTTCTTGACTATGTTTGAATACTCCTCCTGTAGAGGGACATGGCCGACTCAAACTCAGCACGGGACCCCCCCCTAGCTTCAGGTCGGGCGTGTCCCCCTACAGACGGACTTTGGACGAAAAATGAAGAATTGGCCAGGAATACTTTTTAAAAAAATGGTCCAAAAAATCGGACCCATACTATTACTTGACTATTTTTGAATACTCCTCCTGTAGATGGACATGCCCGACTCAAGCTCAGCGCGGGACCCCCCCCTGCACGGTTTCTCCCGGGGCCGTAGGCGACCCGAGGAGGAGGGGGAGGGGGAGGAGGAGATGGAGGAGGAGGAGGAGAAGGAGGAGAAGGAGGAGAAGGAGGAGGAGAAGGAGGAGGAGGAGGAGAAGAGGGGAAGGGAGGAGGAGGAGGAGAAGGAGGAGCACGGGTCGCCTAAGCCCTTCGGAGAAACCCTCCACCCCCCCCCCTAGCTGGCGCGCGGAGGGCGCCGGCGGGCGGCGCTGGAGGCGCGCCGTCTCGGGGCCCCAGCGCCAAGCCAAGGCAGACCGCGCGGCGCTCCCAGTCTGTGTCTGCGGGGAGGGCCCATGCCAAGAAGCACCCCTCCTCCTCCTCCTCCTCCTCCCCCTCCCCCCTCCTCCTCCTCCTCCTACCCTCCCTCTCACTGCTCCTCTCCTCCTCCTCCTACTCCCTCCCTCCTCCTCCTCCTCATCTCCTCATCTCCTCCTCATCCTCCTCCTCCTCCTCCTCCTCCTCCTCCTCCTCCGCGCCAGATGCGCCAACCCACCATCCCTGTCAAAAACCTGCAGTGGAGAGTGGAGACCCATGCCAAGAAACACCCTGCTTGCCTCCAGGGTGCCCGGGGTTTCTTGGGTTTCGATGGCTTCGCTATGGAAAGCGTGACGTTCCGACACCAAAAATCCATGGACGTCCTGGGAAGTTTCTTGCGGTCGGGCCCCCACTGTATTGGAGGCCTGGACAGGGGCACCAACACCAACACAGGAGGTTTCACTGCACTGACCTTGCAGACGTGCTGCAGCGTTTTTTGTGTATGGATTCTGCCAGTGCAAAGCCCCGAGACGGCGGGCGGAAAACGAAGAGAGTTTCACGTGGATTTCTTTTAGTCTTCATCCCTGGCCGACTAAAATCCACACGAAATTCCCTTCGAAATCCGGAACGAGATTCTCAAGGACCCTCCGGGCCCATCCCACTGTTTTCCGGACGAATCAGCTCTGCAAGGTTGGCGCCATGAGAGGCTGCCTCCACAGGGGTGAGATGATCCTTGATGTTGGTGTTGGCGGTGATAGCTCGGCCACCTAGAGAGCCCGAAGGTGACCACCATCGCCGAGGTCGGGAGCACATTCCCTCAGTGAGGGCACACCGCCGACCTGGCGTCAACCTCTGGGCCTCCCAACGTTTACGTTGGGGGGCGGAAAGATACGGATACGTGTTGTCCCCGGACCTCTCTTGGGGTGCGTTCTGACCAGAATCTCGAGGCGAATCCAGCGGTGACAACGAGGATTCCCCAGGAGGACCAGGAGAGGCCGAAAACGAAGGGGGACAACACGTATCCGTATCTTTTTCTCCCCCGATTACGCCGTCTCCTCCTCCCCCTCCTCCTCCTCCTCCTCCTCCCCCCCCTCCTCCTCCTCCCCCTCCCCCCTCCCCCTCCTCCTCCTCCCCCTCCTCCTCCTCCTCCTCCTCCTCCTCCTCATCCTCCTGCTCCTCCTCCTCCTCCTCCTCCTCCTCCTCCTCCTCCGTCTCCTCCTCCCCGAGGCCTCCAAGCTGTACTCGATGGCGGACTTGGGAAAGTCGAGCGTCGGCATGCCCGAGTACTGGAAGACCGGGGCGCTGTCGCCAGCCCGGGGGGAGCCGATGCCCCAGGGCAGAGCTTCGCCCTGAGGGCTTCAGACTATCGGGAGCGGCAAAGAGGGGGGTGTCCAAGAGGGGGGGGTGCAAATCATGACCGGCGGCATGTGCGCGGCCCAGCGGGGGGGCCAGGGACGTAATGAAATAAGAGGAGGCGCCATGAGATCTGGGGAAAAATCATGGCCTCCGCCATGATATCCACCCCCCCTAGTCATCACCCCCCTCTTTTCCGCCCCCGAACTTGGGTCGGGCATGTCCTCCTACAGGCGGATTTTGGGCGGAAGAAAAAAGGCTCCAGGATAGTCAAAGAATAATAGAAATTATCCCAGAGCGACCCTACCTAGGAGTTGGAGCCCCTAGGAGAGCAATATTAGTAGTAACGGTAAACGCCGTCCTCCTCCTTCTCCTCATCGTCGCAGTTGTAGCAGTAGCGGTAGTAGTAGTGTTATGCTATGCTATGATATCCATGCTCCTACAGGCGGATTTTGGACGGAAAAAAAGGCTCCAGGATAGTCAAAGAATGATCGAAAAATCGTCCCCCGACTATGTGTTTGACTGTTCTTGAGCACTCCTCCTGTAGAGAGGGACGCGCCCGACTTCACACAGGGGGCCAACGTCCCGCGCCCCTGCCCCTCTCCTCGTCCGAGCCCCGTCCCCCCACTCGTTCCCGCCTCTGCCCCTCCCACGCCCAGGCCTTCGGCAGCGAGGAGGGAGGGAGGGAGGGAGGGAGGGAGGGAGGGAGGGAGGGAGGGAGGGAGGGAGAAGAGGCGGGCGGGCCTTCTCGGAGGGCTCGGAGGGCCTCGGGTCTTCCGAGAAGTGCTCCAAAGGCCTTCCCCGAAGACACAGAGGACTTCTCTCGGGAGGCCCGAGGACTTCCGAGAAGTGCTCCAAAAGCCTTCCCCGAAGACACGGAGGACTTCTCGCAGGAGGCCCGAGGAGGAGGAGGGGGAGGAGGAGGAGGAGGACGAGGAGGAGGAGGAGGAGGAGGAGGAAGAGGAGGACGCGAAGAGGAGGTCTCCTAGAACAGGTCGGGGTGCGGTCGGGAACTCTTCTGAGAGGCCCCGCCGCCTTCTGAGAGGGCATCCCCCCTGCTCACCTCCCAACTCGGCGCGCCGCCGAGTTCAGCAGTTCTCGGGTCACACCTCGGGCCTCTGGCGGCCGTTCGGGACGATCCGGGTGTAAAATACAATGGATTTGACCACTTTTGGGCTTCAAAACGAAGGAGAACTTTTGGGTTTTGTTGCAATCACTTTTGGGTTCTTTTGCAATCCTTCGTTCAAAACGAAGATTTTGTTTGCAATCCTTCGCTATTTGGGGTGGCTGAAATTGCGCACCCCTGGAGCGCCCTCGGCGGGGCGCCACTGCTGGAGCGCATCCCGAGGCTGGAAGACCGCCGAGAACCGACTCTAAAGCGCCCGAGGACCGCCGAGGACCGACGAAAAAACACCCGAGAGCTCCGCCGCCTTCCGAGAAGGCCTCCCCTTTCTCGCCACCTCCCCCCCTCGCTCGCCGCCGAAACCTGCCAGAGGAGGGGCCAGGCGGGCGCATCGGTTCGGGAAGGCGCCAGGGATCCTGGGTCTGCCTCCGCTCCTCGCCGGAGCTGTCGAACTCCTCCGAGGGCATGAAGTCCCCGCCGATGGAGACGACCTCGTTGGACCTCAGGGTCATCAGGAGCAGGGGCCTCCTGGACGACGCATCGTCAGGTGGCCGCACGGGAGCTCCACCCGCGCCCCCCACGATTTCTAAGGGGGTGTGGGGGTTCACTTCGCTCGGGAGCTCCCAGGCAAAGCGAACCCCCACATCCCCTTGGAGATCGTGGGGGGCGGGGGTAGAGCTCACGTGTGGCCACCCAAATTGTCGATCCCGCGGAAGTACTGCAGGGCCTGGGCCGACATGGTCCTCGCCTTGTGAGCGGCGTCAAGGCTGGGGGCGCTGGCGGCCTGTTTGGACTCCGAATGGGCACGGGAAAATTGGGCACGGTTCTCAACCTCAAGTGTTGTCCAAAACCGGACAACGCCCGCGGCGGCGCGGACAACGAGTCCTGTTCAGAATGAAAACGGCTGCGCTCCTTGTACCCACTCTTTCCGTACCCATTTCCCAAGGCCACGTTAACGGCGATGTTGGTTAACGGCGATGTTGGGAATCTGGCTCTTGCGACGCCGAATTCGCGCAGAAGAAATGGAAGGAAACGCGAACAAGCCCTTCCTACGACTGGGCCGGCCACGAACCCCCCCCCCTGCCATACCGAAACCTACCCCGCCGCTGCCTACATCGCCATTGGCGTGACGTCGGATTTCGATGATCCCCAGCCTGGGGGCCCGTGCGCTCCGGCTGGTACTCCGGCTGGAGATCTGGCCTGAGCTCCAGCTTCAACTCCTCGTGCCCCGTTTTCACAAGCAACAGAAGCACCCCTGACCCCGTGGGGAGGGGACCTGAGTGAGGAGAGCCAAGAGAATGTGGGGACAGAGGGGGTCAGACCAAGCCGCCCAGAAGCATCGTCCCTGATGCGAAGACGGGGACCCAAGTGTAAGCCGCGTCTTCACTATGCTATTGACTACCTACCAGACCACCCCAACCCAACCCGAAGACCCGAATTTGACCCGAATTTCGCGGATCCCATGTGTTTTCTCAACGTTCCCCGACCCCCCCCCCCACTGGAAATGGAGGCCAATTTGAGGCCTTCGGGTTGGGTTGGGGTGGTTTGGTGGGTGGTGAGCTATGGGGGTCAGGGGCTCGTTTCTCCTCGATGGCTCGTGGCCCGCTTCTCCACCGGCACCGCCGCCGGGTGGCGGCGCGCGGCCTCTCCGGGGCACGGGGGCGGAGGCCTCGAGGCCCGTGGGCACTCGCCTCCCAGATTGCGATCGAACCTGGGACACGGTGATCGACGCCAGTCGACGCGAATCGACGGCGCTCGACGCCAAGTCGACGCCAATCGACGCTGGCCGACGCCAATCCACGTCAGATCGGCGCTGTCTCATCGACTGCCAGACGCTGCGCGACGCCAATCGACGCCAAAGACAGGATTCAGACGGTACGGTCGGACCTGGCACAGCAGAGCATCCCTCAAGGACACGGGACCCTCCGCCTGCCCAAACTGAAGAACACTCGAGGGTGCATTCTCCCAGGATGCACTTGTGGGGTCCAAAACCCGGATAGCCGGGCGCCCGACGGGCGTGGAAAGGCCTGGCGAAGCACTCTGGAAGGACCTGGAGAGAGCTTCCGAAGGACCTGCTGGAGAGCTTCTGGGCACGCGTACTGGGAAACGCTTAGGAAGGCCTCTCGGGACCCGCTGCGGCCTCAAGCATGCTGCTGCGATGTGCCCTGCCCGCCACCGAAACGATCTCTGGGGCGACCCTGCGGCTCCGGCTTCTTGATCTAAGACCCTCCTAGCTCTCTACTAGCTATCTGGGAACAATCCGGCAAGCACGAAGAAGATCAGGGTGTCCCCTCCCGAACCGACCTCGACCTTTTATGCCTCGGTCCGGAACGTACCTGCAGCTCGAAGGCGGCCGCAGGGTGTCTGAGCTGCCAAAGGTGCCCCTGGCCTCAAGGGTGCCCCCAGCTCCTCGCTCCCGTCCGGAGGGGGGCGAGAGGTTCGAGGCTCTGGGGTCGACGAGGCTTCTGGCCGCTTCTGGTGAAACCTGCAGGGACACGCTCGAGGCTTTGTCCGAATACTTGTCTGGCTCCAACGGCAACGATTGCCACCGTGGATCCAAAGCAGTGTGTTATTGCAGTGTGGATAGCTAGCGTCGATCCATCAGCAAGCAGTAACGACGGGAAACCTACAGGTACCGATACCGCTACTCCCCGGACCTCTCCTGGGGTGCCTTCTGACCAAGATTTTGAGGCGAATCCAGCGGTGGCGCCGAGATCCTCCGAGAGGAGGCCCCACAAGCGGAAAACGGCCGAAGGGTAGAGGTATGGGTACCTTTTCCTCCTCTGATTTTCGGTCTCCAAGGACCGCTTTCGGGCCCCGGGCCCATCAAGCATGGACCCCGGGTGCCCAAACCGCCCCCTGGGGCCTCCCCCCCCCCGCGGCCTTGCGAGGGGTGCTCCGGAGGCCGGGGGCGCCGCCCTGGAACTCCCGGGGGCCCCTTGGGCCAGGGGCACTTCTTGACGAGCGCGCTCCACTACACGTCGGTCGGAAGAAGTAGGTGAGAACATGAAGTAGGAAGGCGGACACAGTGGATTGGGTACAGATCCTCCCAGAGAATAACATGATACCAGAGAAAAAAGCAATCATAATCTTTTTAGGGCTGTAGGGCTATAGGGCTGCAGGGCTAGATGGACTCTTGGGCGATATATGGGCTATATGGCTATATGGCTATATGGGTTATAGGGCTATAGGGCTATAGGGCGATAGGGGGGCTATAAGGCTATAGGGCTACAGGGCACCAGGCATCCGGGCACCCGGCACCCGGCACCCGGACACCCACCTGGGCACCGCGCACCCGTCACCCGGGCACCCGGGCACCTGGGCATCCGGGCACCTGGGCCCAGCCACCGAATCGGCGGCGAACCCGGGCACCGGGGCACCCGGGCACCAGGGCACCCGGGCCCGGCCACCGAATCGGCGGCGAACCCGGGCACCCGGGCACCCGGGCAACCGGGCACCCAAGCCCGGCCACCGAATCGGCGGCACACCTCACCTACCCTTAAATCCGCGAGGACCCCTGTAGAGGCAAGCTCTGATTGGGGAAAAACCAGCAAAAGCAGGTCGATTCTTGAAGTAGGGAAGCGCTTGAAGTAGATTGGGATCTGGAAATCCAAAAATACCTACTTTCAACGACCCGCGTGTACTCGTTAAGTAACTACTCGCAAGTGGCCTGGATCCCCCGCGGGGGATCCACGATACATTGCATTAAAGCAGACAGGTGTTTTTCGGAAGTTTGCGAGTAGGCACTTTGCGAGTAGTGGAACGCGCTCGGCGAACTTCTAGCAACACCCGATGATCTGGGACCCCAGCAAGTCGGTCAGGGGGGGGGTGAAGCCAGTTCCGCTCAGAATCGGTCACTGCCCTCCTGGGGTCCACCTGGTGCAGTGTTTCACCCCGGATCTGTTTTTCACGGTCCCGACCCCGGAAACGGCCCCAGGAGGCCGGAAAACAACATATCCTTCCGAACCCAGAACATCGAACCTCGCTCCTCCTTCCCGCTCGCCAAAACCAGTGCTGGGCCACCTCAGACCCCCAGCCGGCTCCAACCTGCAGCTCTTGCCAGCGGCGGTGGAGAATCGGGCTCTGAGAGCTCCTGCTTGAAGCCGATGCCCTGCACCAGGGGCGTGCACAGCGACAGCAGCCCAAGCAGCATCGCTCTGTCCATGAAGGTAGGGTTCGTGCGATGTTATGGATCCCGCCAGCTGCGCTCGAACCAGTCGCTCTGACATAAAGAGGATGACCCTCAGATCTTGGCGTTGCAACTCTTACTCCACGGCGACGAAATCTGTACATATCCACTGCTCCCTGGCCAGGCCCATCCTCAACCCCGCAGCGGTGTGTACGCCACGCCCTCCTGGCTTGGCCAGGAGGGCGCATACACAGCTCCTGGGTTCAAGATGGGCATGGTCAGGGAGCAGTGGATCTGTATAGATTTCGTCGCCCGATCCACGGGCACCGTCGCCCCGTTTCGGGCCGCGGGACCCCTCACGAGGCGATCCGGCCCGGCTCGAGAAGAGTGGCGCAGAGAGATGAGGTCTGCGGCTGCGGTCGTGAGGTCTCGCGACTCCGTAGTGTTGTCTTGCAGCGTCAGACTGGAGGGGAGGATGAGAATGAGTAGGCGACGAGCCCAGGAGGGAAATGAGAAGGAGAAGGCCTTCTCAGAAGGCCGCGGGACTTCTTAGAAGTCCGGGGGGCTTCTGAGACGTTTCCTTGGCCTATTTCGAATACAGACAGAACTTCTCAGAAGCCCTCTCAGAAGTCCAGAAACTTCTCAGAAGCCTCGGAAGTCCCGCCCCTTCTCATTTCCCCCCCGCGCCCGCCGCCGAATGAGGAGGAGAAGGATGACGATCAGGGTGGGCATGAGGGCGAGGACCAGAATAAGGAAAAGGACTGTGCGGCCCTCTCGGGGGGTGAGCATAAGGAGAAGGAGCACAGGGAGCAAGGGAGCACGATGCATACGATCACTATTCATATGCATTACAGCACCGCGTGGCGTGTGAAATCTTGACAGGTGGATCTCTTCGGAAATCTCCAGGGGTTCTCGACACCATCCTTCCTGCGGATCTCGTGCCGTGGTTTACTTTCTGCGGGTCCCGGGGACCGAAACGGTCCCCCAGAGAGTGCGTACGGCAGATTCGTGTCGTCCCGATTTCGACATTGGTTTCTGCGTTCAATCTTGAACGATCGGCTGTTTCCGAAACGTCAGATCTTAACATAGGGGAAGCGGGTCCTGAGGGAAACGGATCCTGGACCCTGGGGCCTTCCCCCAAGACGAGGTCCTCATCCTAAGTCATTTTCTGACAGCCCTGGGGCCCATGGAGGGCCCCGAGAGTCCGAAGGCGGCCAATAGAAAAAACAGGACCCGTTTCCCTCAGGACCCGCTTCCCCCATGGCGAAGCTCGTTCAACCTCGACCGATTCTTGGGGGCAACGATAGGGGGGGACTGGCATAGGGGGGGATGCATCGACCTGGAATCGGCGATACATCGCCGATAGATCGGCGATAGGCCCCCGATAGTGAATCCGCACATTCCTGGCCAGGCTGGAGCTATCCGGCCCCTATCGGCGATCCATGGGCCGTTGGGGGTCGATGCATCCCCCCCTATGGCTATCCCCCCCTATCGTTGACCCTGAGATTCCAGGTCACGTGGAACGCCGTCGGCGAGGGGTCGCCGCCGGGGTCGACACGGCGCGAGAACCTGCCGTAAGTACCCTCTCGCGGTTTCGACACTGGTTCGGTTTCGGCCGTTTCGGTTTGGGTCTGGCTGCAGTTCGGTTCGGTTCGGTTCGGTCCCACTGGTTCGGTCCCACCAGTTCGATTCGGTCCCACCCTCGGTTCGGTCCCACCGGTTCGGTTCGCTTCGATTGACGGTTTGGTTCGAATCTGCTGCTTGCCGAGTTCTCTCCGCAGGTTAGCGGCGCGAGAAAAGGCGGTGCGGCGAGGGGCGAACCGTTCTAGGGCATCTCCTGAAACAGCCCAGGGCTCGACCCAAACAGAATTTTGTCCGTGTTCGTTTTGTGTTTTCGCGTTCCCTCGCTCTGTCTTCGTGTTCCGCCTCTGCTGCAAAAAACGAAATCAAGATGAAAACGGTCCACGAGATCGCTGAGACACCGCTTAGGTTGAGCCCTGAACCAGCCCGACCCGGATAATTGGCGTTTACTAAACGGCCCTGAGCGTTCACCAAACAGGCCTGCCCTGCTCGATTCTTTCCCTGGGTGCGTTTCCTGAACGACTTCGCTTATCGGGGTGCTTACTGTGAGGGTGGATGTTCTGCTCTCTACTGAAGGCCCGGAGACTTCCGAGCCTTCTAAGAACGCCCGCCCCTTCTCATTTCCCGCCCTCGCTCGCCGCCGAAAGGAAAGCGGACGCGGTGGGGGGATCACGGCAGGGGGTGGCATCCAGCATGAAGAACAAGATCTCGACGTGCTTCCCACACGTCGGCCCAAGAGGACCCCAAGATCATCAAAAGAGCCTCCCAGGAGGGCCCCGAGATGGCCCTGAAGCGCTCCAGAAGGGCACTCGGCCGGTCTGGGGGGGCATCCGAGATGGCCTCCGGAGGCGACAGACGGGCCAGGAGCCCCCTGAGACGGCCCAAAAGGGCCCAAGAGGTCCCCAAGAGGCATCCAGGAGGAAGACAAAGATTTCGACGTGCTTCACCACTCGGGCCTCAGCGCACGCCAGGAGAGGTCTGGAGATCGACTTCGAGAAAGAGTGGTCGAACAACTGAGGGGTGGAAACGAAGTGACTCCAACCGTGAGTCGAAGTTCAAGAGCCTGTTCTGGATAGAGACGTGCTACGTGACAAAATCTCGCGCCCCATGCCCGCGGATGACAGGTAGACTGATATCCCCCACCGTGCCTGCACGGAGTGGGCATGTTAGAACGCTCATCTAGTGGTTGGGAGGTGTTTTGACGTTTTCTAGGGCCGACCTCCTCGTCGCACGCATCGTTCGAAAATCGTCCCCCCTGCGTTTGCTCTCCAGCGCTCTTTTCGCCCTCCAGTCGGCTCAGGAGGCTCCCAAGACGGCTTCCAGGACAACCAAGATGACACCAAGAGGGCTCAAGATGGCCGGAGGCGGCATCAGAGGCTCCCAAACTGCCTCGAGAAGGCTCGAGAGGCTGCCAAGACTGCCGAAGAGGACTCCAAGAGGCCATCCAGGAGAGCCCGAGGAGGCAAACATAGTGCTGGCTTCCCCTGGATGTTCACAGATGCTCACGTTCTCACCCGCTGGGGTTCCCGACCGTCCAAGACCGCCCCCAAGACTGCTCCGGGGCAGCCGATGGGGCCCCAAGGGGCCACCCCCCGTCGGCCCGCGAGGACCCCAAGATGGCCCGAGAGCCTCCCGATGGGGCCCCGAGAGGGCCCTGAAGCACTCCAGGAGGGCAACAAGACGGCCCAGAGAAACATTGGAGGCCTGGAAACGGGCACCAGCACCATCACAGGGGGCTGCCTCCACGGGGGGAAGATGATCCCAGATTTCGGTGTTGGTGGTAATAGTTCGGTCACCTTGAAGCCAGAATATTACCACCATCACCGAGATCGGGATCTTCTTCCTTCGGTGGAGGAAAAACGCCGATATTGGTGTTGGTGTCAACCTCTAGGCAACATCCAAGACGGCCGCCGAAGGCGTCAGACGGATCAAGAGCTCCACAAGACGGCCGACAAGGTCCCAAGAGGCCCCCAAGAAGCCCCAGGGGGGTCCCCGAAGCAGCAAAACACGATGAAACCTCAACGTACCCCTGCTGTGAACAAGCCCGTCAAATTGTCTCCCGCCCGCGACGATATTGTAGCGGCGGGGACCGAGCAAGCGCACCACGTAGGTCAGCCAAGCGCGAAAATCCTCCCATCATGGACTCCTGGTTGAGGTTCGGGGAGGCGGCCTCGAAGTCAAAGGAGATCGACCAACATCGACCGACCGTGAAAGAACCCACGCTGGGATTCGGAGATCCCCAGGGCGACTTCCGACTCGACGTGCCTGCGCACCGCTCTGCAGATGATCCTGTTCTTGGCACTGGTGGTGTTCAAAGGCCGCATGCTGCTCGTAGCGAAGATGTCCAGACCGGCTGGTACAGAAGCGGATGCCTTCTGAAGAGCAATACCATCATGCTTTCGCTGAATGTCTCCCACTCCGCCTCCAACGTACAGCTGGCCCGTATCATAAGGATGCGCGATGAGGATGCAAGAGCCGTGGACGCCCATCTCGAAGCTTTTCGAGCGCGGCGCGGCGAACGAAACTGGCCAAGGATGGACCGAGGAGGCAAGGATGCAGGGGTACCCTTGGGAAGGTGGCCCCTCCTTACCGTGCGGGTCGACTGTAGCCCTGACTACCTATCAGACCACCCCAACCCAACCCGAAGACCCGAATTTCGGGTTTGGGGGGGGTAAGGGTTCCACATGTGCTTTTTCAAGGTTTCCCGACCCCCCCCCCCCCACTGGAAATCGAGGGTAAATCTGAGCCTTCGGGTTGGGTTGGGGTGGTTTGGTGGGTGGTGAAGCCCCGTGGAGCGGACAACGGCGCGAAGGCTTCCTGCAGGGCCTCTGTGGCGGATCGCCCGAGCTTGCGCTCCACGCTTTTTGCAAGGAGTGCCGCCGGGCCCCGTGCGAGCTGCCGCTCACGGTGTGCCGACGGCCGTGCCGAGGGTCCACGGCAGGCGCCGTGCCGCCACTGGCACAGGGGAGGGGGCCCAGGCCCTCCCCTGTGCCAGGAGGAGGAGTAGGAGGAGGAGGAGGAGGAGGAGGAGGAGGAGGAGGAGGAGGCGGAGGCGGAGGAGGAGGAGGAGGAGGAGGAGGAGGAGGAGGAGGGAGGAGGAGGAGGAGGGGACGGGTCCCTCGATCAGCGGAGACGGGGGCGGGCGAACATACATTCGGCCCGTATCATCAGGACGCGCGGGAAAGATGCAAGGGCCCTGGAAGGCCGCTTCGAAGCTTCTCGAGCGGGGCACGGCCACCGACGGCGGCCAAGGACGGGCCGAGGAGGCAAGGATGCAGGGGTACCCCTGGGAAGGCTGCCCCTGCTTACTATGCGGGTTGACTGTATTTCCACGACTTCAAACTTCGCTCCTGAAGGCTTCGACTACCACCACCCAAGGTGTTCCTCTCTCCTCCGTCCTCACTCCATCTCTCCTCCCTCCATACTGCCTCTTTCTCTCCTCCGGTCTCCTCCCCTTCCTCTTTCCTCCATCCCTCTGACCACCTCCGAAAACCGCTGAGATCCTTCTCTTCCACCTCCGTCTCTCTCTCATCCCTCCTCCTCTCCTCCTCCTCCTCCGCCTGGTCTGGCCGCCTCCGCCTGCGCCTCTGCCTCCTCCTCCCTCTCCTCCTCCTCCTCCTCCTCCTCCTCCCCCTCCTCCTCCTCCTCCTCCTCCGCCTCCTCATCCTCCGCCTCCTCCGCCTCCTCCTCCTCCTTCCCCTCCTTGTGTGCGGGAAAGGTTCGCTGTGTTTATCGCAATCTCGTCGTGGCTCTCAATCCCTGCAGGCTAGCTGTGTTTACCGCAATATCGTCTTGGCTCTCATTCCCTGCCTGCAGATGCTTGTGCTGCCAACTGCTTCTGGCAAAAGCTCCCATCCGCCTCCTCCACCTCCCATCTCCTCCTCTTACTCCCCTCCCCCAGTCCCATCCCCCTCTCCCTGAAGGGACCCAGGGACACACACAAATAGATAAACACAACTCCCAGGATCCAAATAGCTGCCCATACCTTCTGGGCTCTCGTCTTCCTATCCACCTCCCATGTGTGGCATGCTTTCTTGGGAGTACTCGACGAATCTCTCTGTGTGTGTCTGGGTCTGTGTGTGTTCTCCTTCCCTCCTGAACCACCACCCCCTCCTGTGATGGGCCTGTTTCCACCATCACCACCATGAGTTGGAGCGGGAGGGTGTCCTCCTCCTCCTCCTCCTCCTCCTCCTCCTCCTCCTCCTCCTCCTCCTCCTCCTCCTCCTCCACCTCCTTCCCCCCTCCAACTTCTAGTGGTGGTGGTGGAAAACAGGCCCCTCATCCTGTGCCTCGTCCCCGACGCCCCCGTCGCGACCCCGCGGCGCTGCGCGCGCAGCCTCGTGGTCCGCGAACGCCACGCGCTGGCCCACCGCGAACCGGCACCCGGAGGGCGCCTCGCCCGCCGGAATTCGCTCCCGAGAGCGCGGCAAAGCTGGCCTGCTGGCCTCTGGGGCCGGCGGCGAGCGAGGGCGTTTGCGGGTGTTTTTGGGGGGGAGGAGGACGACGAGGACGAGGAGGAGGAGGAGGAGGAGGAGGAGGAGGAGGAGGAGGAGGAGGAGGAGGAGGAGGGGGGGGAGGAGGAGGAGAGGGGAGGAGGAGGAGGAGGAGGAGAGGAGGAGGAGGAGGAGGAGGAGGAGGAGGAGGAGGAGGAGGAAGAGGAGGAGGGGGGAGCTTCGGGGCGTGTTCGTCGGTTCTCGGCAGTTTTCCAGCCTCGGGATGCGTCCCAGCGGCTGCGCCCAGCAGGGGGCGTTCCAGGGGTGCCCGGATCACCCCGAACGGCCGCCGGAGGCCCGAGCTGTGGCCCGAAAACGAAAGCCGGCGGCGCGCCGAGTGGGGAAGTGAGGAGGAGAAGGCCTTCTCAGAAGACGGCGGGGCTTCTCATGGGACGCACATGGACATACAAATACTATATGTCCTCCTTGGAGGCGCGCGTCCGACCCGAACATATAGTATACCCATCTTGTAGTATATTGTTTCCCGAGCGGTGTGGCCAGAAAGCGCCCGCCACGACGCATATACTATAAGATTTCTC